AATGTGAAAACGTCTTGCCTACAAACTCAGCAGAATTTCAGTGCTTTTAAGAGGAATCATTTTCAGTGCAATCCAGATATAATACATTTGGAATGAAAATTAGTGGGAGGGGGAATAGAGAGTGAAGAAAAGGCTATTCTCTTCTTTGTCACTGCTTAAACCTAAGACATTTCCATATGTGATGTTTGCATCACTTCAAAATCAGCTCTGGATCCATGCAATCCAAATTACCGTAGCCACATCTTCAGCAGCTGAGCCAACTTATTTTCAGATCAACTGTATTATATCTGGATTGCACTGAAAATGATTCCTCTTAAAAGCACTGAAATTCTGCTGAGTTTGTAGGCAAGACGTTTTCACATTAGGTGCAATATTTGCCTCTTTCTGCCCCCAGATCTAGTATATAAGTTGCCATCTACTCCATTCTCATAGAATTTCAGCTACTAGGCTCTGCAGGTCTTTTAAATATAGGTCAGAGGCCTTAGGTTTTGCAATTTCCGATGTTGAAATAGTCTATTATTTCTTTGTTTCCTTCTTTCTTTACATTGAATAAATTAAAGGTGGAAGGCAGGGGATTGAATCAATGCATTTTTTGCACTCTCCTATTGGCTTAGATCTGAGAGAGCAATATAAGATGTTCTTAGTGGTTCAAGGTTGACAGTTTTGAAGACAATCACTGATGACCTTCAACCTTGAGAGCAGAAATATCACTACTGTAATGTAAATGTTCTCTCATAGATGCTTCAGATTGCTTCCAAATTCTAAAAAAATGCTGGAGATAAGTCATACTGTATGTCATTTTATATTTTACTATATCTAGATTAGTTTTAAATAGTTATGGGGGTGTCAGTGGCATTGAATGGCAATGTCTAAAGTTGGCAGGCTGTTGTTTTCCTTTATTTTCCTCTGAAATATGATCCATCAACAAATTATCTCTGCTTTTCAGATAAGATACCATGATGCTTTTCATACAAACAGAAACTGTATGAAAAGCTATTTATTTGTTATTGTTCCCTTCTGAACTTATCAGAGTATCAGATTAGAGTGTATGTCTGGGCAATTGTGCCATAGGGTGAAAAACACATTAATCGGCTCTATTCTGTCACTGTCAATAACTTCAATTTTTGTTAATTCAGGTATTGGAAGAAACACTCAGCCCAATGTGGAATGAACTACTTCTGTATGATCAGCTTGTAATTGATGGAAAGAAAGAGGACTTGAAGACAGAGACTCCAATAGCTATTGTCAATATTTTTGACTACAATAAATTTGTAAGAGTACTTTTTCTTTCTAAACCTTTAAATATGCTTTTTATTGCTCAAAGGAGATTCCAAAGCAGGGAACATTTTTTTAAAAGTTTACAATTAATTTAAGCAATGTTTCAATTGAAAAACATGATTAAAGAACATTAGACAATAATATTGAACTGAATCAGCAAGCCTAACATCACCAATTTAATGAACACCTGGAATGGATGAAGAGACTTGTCTTAAATTCGTGCCAAGAGTTTAGAAGATTCATTGGCAATCATATCTGAAAACTTCATAATGTTAGAGATTGTGAAGAGAGGTTGGGAATACCTTTTATTGAGCCATAACCTAGTGACCCACTGGTAGGTGTGGTATCCTTAAGAAACTTTGATTTTGAAGACTGTCATTTCCAGATGACTTACATTGATTGAAGAAGACTACATGACTAAAGGAATCCAGACACATGACATTTGCATCAATCTAGGGCTGGTCCTTCATCCTGCATACTCAGGATATGTACTTTAGATCTTTTTGGCAGATAAGTCAAATCATTTCTGGCTCAACTCTGATGTAGTAGGAAATGCTATAAATGTTTTGCAATATTAACTGGAACTGGAAGGGTTTTTTAAACAGATTAACAGAGTTGGAATGGACCTAGGTCATCTAGTCCAACTACCCACCCAAGCAGACCCTATATCATATGACAGATGACAATCCAGTCTCAATTTCTCAGTGCAGTTTTTTAATACAGGAACTCTCCCATTGTTCTCATTCCCATATTTTTGGTTTTTCCTCCCTCTCCATGGAAGAGAAGATGCCTTAAAGCTTCACTTCCTTTACTCGCTTTTAAAACTGAGCATCTCTCTCTGACCCCTGTTGAAATCAATGCTCCAAGCTTTTTAGAAAGCATTACCTTTTACCCTGTCCACACTGCCAAACTAAATAGGGCAACCAGAGGTGGGTTTCTACTGGTTCGCACCGGTTCAGGTGAACCAGTAGTGGTAATTTGGCCTGGGTCACAGAACTAGCAGCGACTCAAGCTGGGCACACCCCAGAATCAATTCCCTGGTCTCCGCTGCCATTGCCCGCATGTTTTTTACTAGTTTTCCATGTTCTTCGTGCATGCGCAGAATAATTTACAATGAACTGCACACAAGCACAAAGCGCACACAAATCAATCTGGTACCAACGCCAGTAGGAACCCACCACTATGGGCAACAATAAGAACAATAATGGACTACTATCTAAGTACAGTAAAAGGTAAAGGACTCTCTGTGGAGTTTACTCCACTAGTTGTTGGCCAACTGTAGAGGGCAGTGCTCATCTCCATTTCAAGACCATTGAGCCAGTGCT